TTCCAGATTCAAGAAAGATCTTAATAGACATAGTTTTTAATGAGAAAAAAACAGCTCCCAAAGTTCGAGGAAGAAAGAAGCAGTTTTAGCGTCTTATATATACATACAACCCTTTACTTGACTGCCCCCGAAAAGCTATATTGTTTCTTAACAACAAAATTTTCATCTTAAGACTAGCTTCAAGTTTTTATATTCAACCCATACAGTAATCTCTCAAAAAAGAAAAAACAGATTGCAAAAAAAAAAGAAAAATGAAGCAAAGTATAGATTAGTAGCGGATTTAGGGGGGAGGGGCTCGGTCGCCCATCCTCCTCTCAAGGATTCGACCCCCTACCGACCCCCTACCGACCCAAAGGGTCCCCGTTTGTACTATGTTGGCTGACTGACTTTGAATTTGAAATTTTTCTAAAGGCGCTTTCGGCGCCAATCTATACTAATTTTGAAGGGGGAGCGCGCGCCGAAATAATGCAATTTTTTTTGGTCGAAATGTTCCAAAAAAAGCTAGAAACACCATTCTTGAACTTCTTTCAAAAATTTTCCTGCGGCGCAGAAAATTTGGTCAAATTAGCGTCTTTGTAAAGATTAGTTTGACAAAATTTTCATTTTTTTGTCAACCTAATATTAGATTTGTAATATTTTTTCTTTCTCAATATAAATTCAACCTACCTTGATCATACACATATTTCGTCTTATTTTTTCTAGCGTTGTTTTCGACAAAAACTTCAAGCTGTTATCTTGAAGGATCTTAGAAGAAATTTGCAAGATTCTTGCAAGACAATTTTAATTTGTCGACTAGGAGCGCGACTTTTTAACGCGCTCAAACAACTTTTTCACAATGATCTGAAAAATATCTTTCAGTACATTGCTGCGCAACAAATAAAACGGTTGTGGCCACAGAAATTCAGTTATTTCAGTAAGCAGAGCCCTGATTTCCTTGCGTTTTCTAATGAACAAAGAAAGTTTGCGAAGGACTTTTTTCAACTGTTTGCGAACCCATTAGAACACCGACTGCAATAATTGACAGAACATTCATCCCTCAGTCCGGAGGCAAGCAGACCATCAACTTATACTGTGGAATAAATGAGATGATAAAACAAGACTGCTGGTATCAGGTCGAAGCCCTCAATGTTACGACTGCCTTTTAAGGCCTATGGAGCAGTAATATCATTAGAAAAGTAAATGTAATGAAATGAAACAAAAAACAATGAGATTTTATAAAAATTATTACCCCACACGCCATATAAAGTACGAAGTGATAGATTTTGCTCCTAGTAACAAATCATTTATGGCGTGTGAGCTTTTGTCAGACACTTGGAACGATTTCTAACACGAATTAAATCTCCGCTTAAGCGTTAATAACACAAAACTTATTTCGCGTAAATTCTCCCAAATTGGCCTAAATGGCAATCTTTAAACCCTGATACCTTTAATAAAATAATGACAGGCGAAGTTTTTTCTTCAAGTCTAAGCTCAGGACAACAATAACTTTTGACTATAGCTAAAAATTCAGTCAAACATGGCTAGTTAAAAATTACAAAATTATCTGAAGAAAAAATAACCAGTCCGAGCACAAATATGCCGTTACTTTTGTGACGAAAGTCGAAACAATAGTTTGTTTTGCACTCAGTTTGGGCATTTGAGTGCATATAAATTTCTTGTATAACCATCAAACGAGATTGAGTGTTAAAAAACTGCTCCTATCAAGGTGAAGCCCTGAATGCTCCGACTGCAACTTATTTCATAACTAATATTTTTTGGGAAAACAAAATATTGAAATCAAAGTCCAATTTTTTAGTCGTACGACAAGAATACGACAAATCAGCCTCAATTCACTTTGGAATGATATTGTTGTGCGTGATTATTTGCAACGCGTAAATAATTCGCGTTAAGCTCTCAGCATCATTAATGAATTCTTCAAAGCGCGCATAATTTAGTCCAGAACTTAGCCAATTTGCCGATTTTCAAACCCCGAGAACTGATTGCAGATGGACTATCTTCTTATATTTGAACTCTGGAAGTCGATATCTTTAATGGGGTATAAAAAAATTTTGTTGAAAACTATTACTTCGATCCACAAAAATTGACTGAATAAAAAAATCCACACAGAGCAGAAACATTCCGTTTTGTTCGAAAGTCGGAACAAATGAAAAAGTTCAACAGACACGAGAACAGCCAGAGAAATATCGTAGTTGGTAAAAGCCACGTTTATGGTATTTTCTAACTCTAATGGTAATCCGGTTTTAACGCACAAGATCTAAGAAGAAATAGCCTCTGCTTGAACAGTAAAACTTCATGACTACAGCCTACCACAAGTGGTTGTTCCGACATTCGTAACAAAAGTAACAGAATAATTGTGCTCGGGGTGTTTTTTTTTTCTTCGGACAATTTTTGACGTTTTAACTAGCCATTTTGACGCGCTATTAACGCATAAACAGATAATTATTGCGTCTTAGAAATCGTTCCAAACTTGTTGAAGGAAGCTTATTTGCCATAAATGATTTAATACTAGGAGCAAAGTCTATCAATTTGTTTTTTATATGGCGTGTGAGGGGATGATTTTCACAAAAAATCTCATATTAAAAATTGTTGTTTTAACTACATATAATTTTTTTCTTGTTGGTACTGCTCCATAGACCTTAAAAAGCAGTCGGAACATTCAGGGCCTCGCCTTGATACGAGCAGTCTTGTTAGAATTAAACTTACCCCTTTCTGGTATCTTCTCAAGCAATTGCTCTGCTCGAGATTGTTCATAACACGAATTTTTTATTCGCCGTTCACGTTTTTTATTGGTCGGGTCGGTCAAAATATAGCTGTATATGGGACCAAGTCGGACAAAACCCAGATAATCCGGCTCGGTCGAGTTGGTTCGTACGTATCGCTCTTTATTGGTCAACTCGCTTGGTGGAACATTGAATTGAACTCTCGATGACAGTGCAAACCTTCAAAAAATTTAATAAAAATAAATTTCATAGAACTCCCCTTTGTGAAAAACTTCTGCAGACGTCACTGCTTGTAGATAATGGATCTTTTCGAGAGATTTCATTTTTCTTACTTTTTTCTCATTGTTTTTCTGATCCAGTCACTGTGATGTGACATACGCTTTTGATAACCACTCCGTAAACGCATGTAGCTCTGTAAATGTATGGGCTCTTTTTCGGAAACTTCTAAAATGCATAAATTGATTTTCCTTGAAAAATACAACCTTGTTCTTAAATCAGATCATCTGGCACCTCGTAAAAATGTCTTGCCCTTTTTATGAAATAAACCCAGGTCGAGGTGCCCCTTCTATGTTTTCTGACCATGCTCGACTGTTTTAGTATCTTTCGACCATGCTCGACAAAACTCGGTCTGTTTCGATTGTGCCCGACCGAAGCAAGATATATTTCGACCATGATCGCGGTATGTTTTGACCATGCTCGACTGTGCTCGAGGTATGTTTCGAAATTGTGCTCGACCCGAACCCATGTATCCACTATTCTTACTTGGTCGAGCACTGGACATGTGCTCGACTTTGAAAGTCGAAACATTAAGTGAGCAAATCGACCCGAGAAGGCAAATACTGCACCTTCTAAAGAACGCACCCTTTTGTAAAACTGGGAAGGGTGATGAACACGACAATTTCTCAAATTTTTGAAGTTATTATCAAAAAGCTTTTATTTTTTTTGTTCGTGTATTTATGGACCCAATGCTGAAAGTCGAAGCAACAAATCCCTCGCCTTTCAGCAAAACGAATGTACTTTAACGTGAATGGAGTACTTTTTGGCTGATTTGCTTTCAAACTATCCCGCCGCACGGTATATCAGTATATCAGTAGCAAAACTATAAAATTATTTTGCTTACACTTGGGACTATTTTTCCAACTTGAGATCTTTCTCCAGACTTCTTCTCAGTTTTTTTTAATTGAGTTCTCCAAAGTTCTCTTTTAATAGAATAAAGTATATTATGCAGATTACCTGAACCTCCTTATGTGATTGAAAACCCGATGCGCATATTTGCTTGTAATTATCAAAAAAAATTCCCTCAATCTACCGGAATATGCAAACCAACCATGTCCCGAAACCAACCATGCGCAAATGCTGTATGCTATCGACATCTGAAAAAAGATTTATAATTTTTTAAATTTTTGAGCTGCTACGAATCACATTCAAACCTTATTGAATTGCCTATTAGTTCACCTCTTGTTCAACTGTTTGCGTTTTTTTGAGTTTTTTGAGTTTAATTTACCTCTTGTTCAACTGTTTGAGTTTTTTGAGTTTTTCGGGGATGGTTGGCATATTTACAAATAATTGCTTGCTACGCGCAGCCCTTCGAATCAGTTTATTTTTAGTTCGGAGAGTAAAGTGAGTGGCCAAGTCATTTGTTACTGGCAAAACCGCACTGAAAAATGCGACAGCCGGTGTAAGCCTGTCGCTGAAATCTTCTAAATGTTGACGACTTTTCCGACATATATCTTTCCAGCTAAAATTTCTCTATTGTGTGCTCTCCACTCGTCTTGATCAATTAGTTAATTTCTGTGACGGCAGATGATTGACATTTCAATGTCTGGTATTTTGAGCAAATCCATCTTTCGGTAAACTTAGTTTTTCGCCTGAAAGAAAATTCGTGCCCAATGCTTTGAGCATTTGCTTTGCTTTTAGATGAAAGTGTGAATTAGAACATAGACTCAACGATTACTTGTTTTTCGTGTTTGCATTTGCTTATCACTT